TGTCTGTGACAGCAGGGGCTGCTGCAGGGCTGGGTGTGACCATGTTCAGTTCTGGCCCAGGGGCTGCAAAAGTCAGGGCTGTGGAGTTTTATTCCCTGCACTGATTGGTAGGAAATGAAGGTGAAAATGTGTTGGATTGTTTTCAGTTGGAAGGCAGAGCGTTCCACAGGTTACAGAGCTCTGCACAAACAAACAAACCAAGCAAGTGTGTAAATTCTCACCAGCCTGTTCTTTCTCCTCCCTCTCTGCAGGTTGATTTTCCAAGAAATCTGGCCAAGTCCGTAACTGTAGAGTGAAAGATCATCTGACTCATAGGGGCAAAGGGGAATTAAATGAAAAGACTTTTTTTGGTACCAAAATAACTCGATTTTAAAGCCCCCTAGGTAAATCTTATTTTGGTAAATCGCTGTTTGTGTACAAGATCACCACAATTCCATTGCATTAGTGATTGTCCAGTTGATTCCACGTGCTCCATCAATAGCTCTGGGGTTGTTTTTTTATTTTGATCAATAGGCTTCCATGAAAGGTGTTCAATGGTTTTCCTAAAGATTGCTGAGTGCTGTAGGTGAGGGGTTGCTCTGGCTCAGCCCAGGCGCTGCTGGGAGAGCTCTGCAGGGATCCTCAGAGTCCTGTGGGGACAGCAGGACAGCAGGACAGCAGGACAGCAGGACACACAGCTGGAACAGGAATTGCGCCAGTGGAGGGAACTGCAGGAAACCTTGGGCTGAGCTGTGCCCCAGGAGCAGGAGGGGATTCAGCACAGCCTGGGCAGGGCCCTGCTGCTCCAGAGGGGTTTAATCCGTGCCACAGCCAGGGCAGGGGACAATCCTGTGGCCAGGGGGAGCCAGCAGGGCCAGGGCTGGGGCACAGGGCTGGCAGGGCTGGCTCTGAGCTGCTGCTGCTGCTGCTGCTGCTTGGGGCTGTTACAGCAAGGGAGCCTGTGCTGTGCTGAGGGTTCCCCCTGGATGTGACAGATCTGTGTGACCCAGCTGTGTGACACACCTGGGGTGACAGATCTGAGTGTGACAGACCTGAGTGTGACAGATCTGAGTGTCCCAGCTGTGTGACACACCTGAGTGTGACACACCTGAGTGTGACAGATCTGTGTGACCCAGCTGTGTGACACACCTGGATGTGACACACCTGAGTGTGACACACCTGGGGTGACAGATCTGAGTGTGACAGATCTGTGTGACCCAGCTGTGTGACACACCTGGATGTGACACACCTGGATGTGACACACCTGGGGTGACAGATCTGAGTGACCCAGCTGTGTGACACACCTGGACGTGACACACCTGGATGTGACACATCTGAGTGTGACACACCTGGGGTGACAGATCTGAGTGTCCCAGCTGTGTGACACACCTGGGGTGACACANAAAATTTTTATTTATTTTTATTTTTTTAGATAAGATAAAGGAAACTTTGTCAGCATGTAACTCCCTCACTGGCTGTGCTTTTCCAAAGAAAATGGGATATTAAAACTATCCCTTTAACAAATGGGGAAATGTTTTTTACAGAACCCCAGTGTTTGTGTCCAGCTAACAGGACTGTTCTGGCTGGGGGAGAGGCAGCATGAGAGAACTCACTTTGCTGCCTTTCATTTGGGTGAAGTGCTTCTGCATGCTGAAATCTGCTTTGGCTCAGTTAAATTTAGAGGCGAGATGATGTCAATCTGTTACATAAATTCAGCCAAAAACCACATTTGAGTTTAACAGTTCATGGGGGAATTTGATAATGGAAAATTCATGAGTCTCTTACAAGAAACTCTTGAAGGAGCTGTTTGTCCTGTTGTTTTCAGCTTGGACAGAAATGGCGTTTTTCATTTTTGCTCTGGCCACGTGGGGAGGCACCAGAGCTGTGCACAGAGGAAATCACAACCTGAGAAGTTTCTGCCCTGAGGGGGCCCAGAACTTCCCTTGGAGAATATTCTGAGCAGCCCAGGCACGCTGGGTGCTGTGCCAGCAGAGAGCTCCAGAACCCAGCAGGCAGAACAAATGCAGGTTTTCTGGGCTCCTTCAGAGCCTCCAGAGCTTCTCTGGGTTCCACCAGAGCCATCCCAGCCTCCAGAGCTGGTCACACAGCAGGGCTTGGCAGTCAGCGGGGGATGTGGAATACAAAATAGGAGATGTGGAATATAAAATCAGGGGATGTGGAATAGAAAACCTTGTTTGTTGTGTCCGAATCCCCTGGGGTGTGAGGGGATCACTGGTGAGCCCTGCCTGGTTTCTGGGAGCCAGAGGTGCCCCTTGGAGAGCAGAATCTGGGCTGAGATCTGCTGTGTTTGGTGCAGCAGTGACCTCCCGTGTCCCCTGCAGGCCTACACCAGCCAGTTCGTGTCCCTGGTGATGTTTGCCCTGATGATGTGTGACGACAGGATCTCCATGCAGGAGCGGCGCAAGGAGATCATGAGGGGGCTCAAGGGGCTGCCAGGTAGGGCCTGGGGCAGGGGGANTTTTTGCCCATTTGGTGGTGGAGATGGTGACACTCTGTTAGCACCAGTGGTTTTGGGAGCCTCCCCTGCCTGCTCACCCTGACTGGGCTCTCTGCTCTTGCCCACAGTGAACCTGGGCGGGCTCAAGGATCACATCAAGGAGATCCAGAGGTGTCGGCGCCTGATCCTCATCGCCTGTGGCACCAGCTACCACGCAGGAGTGGCAGTGAGTGCGGGGCTGCAGGGGCCACGTGGGGTCCAGCAGGGCCTGGCTGTAGGTGGGGTTTGGGTTCTTCAGGCTGGGACACACTCAGGACACCCAGCATTGCATAATTTATGTTCAGGGTTGTGTAACCAGTGAGACTGACTTAGAGAAATCTCCATTTGAGGGAGGAGTTGGCCCCACAGGCCAATGTGTTTTCCCCCCATACCTCCCTGCCCAGGTGAAGTTTTATGAAATATAAAGCTGGTGGTGGTGCCAAGGCAAGGTGGTGACTGCAGTGTGGGCAATATGAGTAATTAAAGTCTAGACCAGCACTAATTGTCACATGGGGTTTACCAGTAATATTTTCCAGCGTGTGTGGCAGCTAGAAGGCTTTTTAGTGCTTTTATAACCATGATGTAATGACCCCTGCCTTCTGCCCCTCCCGAGCAGACCCGGCAGGTGCTGGAGGAGCTGACGGAGCTGCCCGTCATGGTGGAGCTGGCCAGCGACTTCCTGGACAGGAACACGCCCGTGTTCAGGGACGACGTCTGCTTCTTCCTCAGCCAGTCAGGTACCCCTGCCCTGCCCTGCCTGGGNTGTGACTTCAACACACCTGAAGGGCGTAAAAAGGCTCCATAAACCCAACAGAAATAACCTTTGAAAATTGCCTTGGTAATTAAGGAATTACCTAAAGAAATTACCTTGGTAATATACCTGTGACAAGCTTGAAGGGAATCAAAAATGACACAGAAAATAATACCCAAAATGCCACAGAAAATAATACCCAAAATGACACAGAAAATACTCAAAACAACACAGAAAATAATAGCCAAAATGGCACAGAAAATAATACTCAAAATGGCACAGCAAATACCCCTTCAGGACTGAAAACCTGACTTTCCAGAGTCACCAAAGGGCAGTTATTGTGTGTTTCCTCATGTGCAAAGGTGAATTTCCTCCCCCTTTGCTGGGATTTGAATTGGCTTTCCACAGACCGTGCCACAAGGTGTAGAACAGTGCTGGGGGATGTTCCAGGTGATTTTCTGCCCTGAGAAATGGCTTTAGCAAATGGGCAGTGCCCAGTTCCCCTGGCACAGGGGATATTCCCAAAGATTCTCTGGAATTCTGTGTTTTATAAACTCTTCAGCTCAGTTCAGTGCCCAGATGCATTTCAATTGATGAAAGGAAATGCTGAGTGCCTGGAGAAGCCCCCCAGAGGCAGAGCCTGTGTTTATTGACCTGTCCCACTGTTGGTTTGTGAGCACACAGTGCCGCCAGCGTCTGCTTGAGAGCAAGGAGTGGAAATTGCTGCGTTTTGGGTCAGTGAAGGCTCCGTGTGTGAGGCCCTGCCACAGCCGTGCCCTTCAGTGCAGGGGAAACAGATTGGCCAGTGCTCACAGTGGCAGAGAGCTCCCCATCTTCCTCCTCTTCCTCCTCTTCCTCCTCCTCTTCCTCCCCCTCTTCTTCCTCCTCTTCCTCCTCCTCTTCCTCCTCCTCTTCCTCCTCCCAAAGCCCTGCAGGGCTGGGTCCAGGCTGGGTTCCCCCTGGCGCAGGGATGTGCAGTGCCCCATCCTTTGCTCTGTTAATTAATATTAATTACATGTTAATATTATTAATATTAACATTATTAATTACATGTTAATATTATTAATATTAACATTAATTACAGCGCCTGTTAATTAATATTAATTACATGTTAATATTAATTAATAAACACTCATTAAAACCCCTACGAGGGGATGATGGGGGGCCCTTTTGTGTCCCCCTGGCACAGAGCATGGGGCAGCCAGCCCTGGGAGTTTGAGCGCAGGAGTTTCAGCGCAGGAGTTTCAGTGCAGGAGTTTGAGCGCAGGAGTTTGAGCGCAGGAGTTTGAGCGCAGGAGTTTGAGCGCAGGAGTTTCAGCGCAGGAATTTGAGCGCAGGAGTTTCAGCGCAGGAGTTTGAGTGCAGGATTTCAGTGCAGGAGTTTGAGCGCAGGAGTTTGAGTGCAGGAATTTCAGCGCAGGAGTTTCAGTGCAGGAGTTTGAGCGCAGGAGTTTGAGCACAGGAGTTTCAGCGCAGGAGTTTCAGCGCAGGAGTTTCAGTGCAGGCTGTGGCACCTTGGGCAGAGCCAAGGGGACCAAAGATCCGAGTTAGGAGTGCCCAGCGTGGTTGTGCTGAGCTCTCTGAGGGATTTCCCCGTTGCTGTTGGTGCTGGGGCAGTGGGAATGCACACAGGACTCTCTCTGCCTTTCCTTACCTCATTCTGCCCCCCGGTTGCATCTCTGAAGGGATGATGCTCCTCTTCCCCTTAGGAAAAGACTTGTAGGATGTCTCGTGGTATTTATTGACAGCCAGTCAGCCTTCTGCTCTCCCAAATGAATGTTTTGCTTACTGAGCCAGTGAAATCCTCTCCTTCCTCGCTGAGGGCTTGGAACATTCAGTAGTCCTGTCTCTAAAATTGAGCCACAGGTAAACACAAACCTCCAGAGCCCTTTGCTGTCGCAGATTATGCTGGTGTGAGGAGGTTTTAATTCCCCAAAGCTCAGCAGATTCCCCAGAGCTCAGCCCACCTTTCTGCCCAGCAGTTCTCACCCCGATTCCACACTCCAATTAAGCTGCACATGGAATTTGCTGCAGCCAGAAAGGGTTTTTTGGGTTCCCCCCCTGGCTGTGATGCAGAAGGGCTCTGGGCAGGTTTTTCTTCCCCAGATTTTCTGTGCAGAGCCCATCAGTGCCTGGGGCTGGGCAGGGCATCTCCTGCTGCCCCCAGAGCTGCTGAGAGAGCCAGAACAGCAGAGCAATGACAGAAATGCAGACTCGGGTGAGGAAGGTTTCTCCCCAGCCTCCCTTTTAAATGAAATCTGCCCTCTGCAGTCACTCCTGCCT